CGAAAGCATGGGCCCAAGTGAATCAAATTTGACGACATTGCTCAAAAGTGCACGCTTTGAACATGAAAAGATAGGTGGCACGTGTGAAAGAGAATCTAAATTGGGTAGGGGCAATGGCTGCCAATACAAGTCAGAGGGGAAAAGTACCTGCACCTGCACTACCTTCCACTTACAACCCATTCCCTCCATCTTCTTCTTCTTCTTCTTCTCTTTCCTTTTCGCATTGCCCCCTCCACTCCTTTTGTCATAACTGTCAACGCTTCATAACTGAAAGGAAATCAGAGCTCCAGAAAATTATTCAACACCGTACACCTATCCACGTAAGGATCATGAAGCAAGCAAACATGCCAAGTGTCCGAATCGTGATGAGATTAAGTCCGTGGCTGAACCCAAGAGGAGCACGTGTACAATTCAGTGAAGCTTACTCCCACTTTTTTCCTAATCTGCAAAGAGAGAGGAGTTCAGTCATATCTGAAACGCCACTGGAACACCATGCATTAACTATGGGGACCATGTCAACCCTCTCTCTCTTCTATCTCTCTCTCTCTCTCTCTCTCTCTCTTTGTGCAAGGCGTTAACCAGACCAATTAATATAGAGACGAAATACAAGTACACAAATGTATTCAACGGTTGTTTTAAGGAACCTGCCAAGTAATTCGCCTAAGCCGGCCCATGGCCTATGCAAGTTCCAAGAGCCAATTCGCCCAAGGTTGAAAGCTAAGAAAAATTCATAAAATTTATAAATTTTTTGAGAAATTTCCAATATAAGATTTAAAATCTATATTTTTATAAGATTTTTATGGTTTTTATGATGATTTAAAAACTTCCTTATTATACGGGCTAAGTTTTTTATTTTTTAATAATATTTCAACATATAAATCAAATTTTTAATAATCCATCTTTTATATAAGTTTTTGGAATTTTAAAAACATGTAATAATTTATATTATTTATTGATTTCAAATAATTTTTAATGCACTTTTTATATGTTTTTTAATTTTTAACATTTTTTGTTATTATACATGACTCAGTCGACTCGAACTTGGCCAAGTTACTCAGCTCGGGCCGAGGCCAAACTGAGCTTAACGACATTGCATTCAACATGTTTACATAAGGTTCAACTACCCTTTGAAAGAACACTCTGCACACCGAACCCCAATATATTTATCATTCATCGGCTAATTGCCAAAAGTACAGATTGGAAAAGAGAATTAGAAACTTTCTAATACTCATCCAAGAAAAAATCAGAATCTGAACAAAAAATCAGCAAGCCAACTCAGTCCGAATCAGCTTAGACCCAGGGTACCTGGTTCATGATGGCCTAAGAGAATCTCCTGGATTATTCAGAACTAGACGGTCCATTGCAGTGAAATCAGCATTTCAAGGCAATTCTCAAGTCCTGAGCAATTTTTCTTTTTCTCTTCATATTGTTTTCCTGCTTTTCATCATTTAAGCACGCTTTTAGGGCAAGCTGACTGACGCCCGCCGGACTGGCAAGTGCCCAGTCTGCATCTAGTTCCTGTTTTCTTAACACCAATGTGACTTGGTGAAAACCTTTCCAATGAGAATCAGTGAGACGCATACCTCAAATGGTACATACAATCATAAAAAAAACAGAGGATCACAGAAGTAAAAAACCAATATACGCTGATTCACACAACATAAATGCTATACATTCATAAAAAAAATTAAATGAAGTACCATTTCAAACTTCCAAATACAAAACAACTTAAAAGAAAGACTCACTTTTCACAAAAAGCCCAATTCCCAGATTTGTTTTTTTCTATTATTGCATAAATTATCTCAATTATTGTATAAATTATTATACAACATCATGGGCGCAAAGGAGAAGGCCTCCAACCAACAATGACAACCCATATTTTATTACAATTAAAAATTCAACAAAATTAAAAAGTTCATAGATTGTTTAAGATCAGGCAGTAGAGCTAATTAAAGCCTCGTCATGATCTCTGGTGCTATGGTCCAAAAACTCATAATTTTCATAAACTTCCATTACTAATTCCCTACAAGGAACCACTGCTCTGAGCTTAATGCAAGCAAGGAAGGCACCCGAGAGCTTGCGGTGAAGACTATACGCTTCATCAGGTGGTGGGGTTAATCTATGCTTAAGCATTGTGGCCCCAAGATTAGACATGCTTTGTGTGATCTTTGATGACCTAAAGTCGTAGCCACCAGGCTTAGAGAAGGGCAAGCCCACAATAAAAGCAGCCTGAACATGAGCATCGAGCATTATTTCTGACTCCTGCCCCGTGAGGAAACCGAGCCTCTGTGACATTTCAATCACAGCATATTTGTCAAAACTTGCGCATGCCATTACCTGCAAGTAGCTGTCCGCATTAGGGTCAAAATTCTCTCTCTCTCTCTCTCTCTCT